ACATGGACAACAAATAACATAACACATGGATACATAACATAACAATACGTAATGTATTGTTATACAACTCATTTAACAAACTAGTATTATCATGTTAACCTAATTATCTAACTCATAGCACATAGAATGAAACTATTATTACCAGCGTTATTCAAATGTTTATGGGCAGTACTAATAATAGACGCCATTTTGTTAGCGACTGTTTTGCACAATAATAATACAGTATTGGAAATAACATCACGATTTTTATTCCATGAATGGATAGGCAGAAGTGCGTATGTTACACGTAGTGGTCATTTTTCAGCAGGTATGTTATGAGTCTCATGTTACAAGGGTGTTGTTCTGATGATAACAAGCCAGACTTCCTGATATTTAGTACTGAGAATTTTCGAAATAACGAGACAACCTAATAAGGATTTTATGTATTTTTTTAAGGAGGGAAAATCATCGGAAGACAGCTCCCGCCTGGGTGAGGCGGGAGAGAGTGTCAGACTCTTACTGACTAAAAACCACCCTGTTCTTTCTCCTGCACATTCTCCGCGACTCCGAAATCTAATAAGGATAACCTAATAATTGCCCAACCTAGGAATTTTCTTTATATTTGTTCAAACTTAAAACTTCGATGTTAAATGTTTGATGATTCGATCAACAATGCAGTAATAAAATAAGCTCTAACCTTATTAAATTAAGATTCAATTATAATTATTTTAAAAACGTTTCTCCACTAAATCCTTTGACGCGATCGCACCTGCATCTTGTTAGCGCGTCACTTATCACATTAACCCTCCCGCCGCCGCAGTAATTGGCGGCAGACGTAAATAACTAAATAAGGTGGCATGAGATTAAACTGTCAAACACCAAGCGGTCACCGGTGACCGCAACCTATTGTTCTATAATTGTGTCTACAAAACCGGTACTCGACGAGTTAAATACCGCACTCTTGCAGTCATGAAAGTATGACCTTTACGTTACCTGATAGTGTTTACAAAGACATTAGTTTAGTTTTTGCTAAACAGTGTAGTGTTTAACAGTTTAGTACGTCAAAGTTACGTGTGTTGCAACAAACCAATTTCCAATATTACCTATTTAATTTCATAAGTAATATGGGAATAATGTTGTTTATTGCAATTTATTTTTTGACGACCTTTCGACAGTTGTGACTTAATAAACTTCATTATACAAAATATATTGAAATCTTTAAGACACAATACTAATTCATTTATACCCTTTTCCACAGGTCATTGAACCAAGAGCCGAAGCATGAGTACTACTACTACACAGTGAGTCTACTAACAGTATAACATCAATCTTCATGGGAGACGTAAACAGCAAGTCAAATACAAACTTTGATACGAACATTCAAAGTTGCTCAGACGAAATCTACACACTAGAACAATCTGGAATACTCTGGATTATACTGGAATATTCTGGAATACCTATCTTCGTACGATCCTACGTGTAGTCTGGTACGCTGGGGATTCCAGTTTCGATTCCCGCAGTGCGCCTCGTTAGCCGACTGTCTTATGACATTAGCGGTTTGTCCGTCGAGCACGTTCCGAGTTCCAATCGACCATTGGTCTTTTAGACCAAGCCCCGGTATTGAACGGTTAACTAAATAAGAGGCGATCGATGTTTATTTACTGTGTTCAATTATATTAATGTGTTAGTGTAAGTGATCCGAAATGGACGTGTTGTGAGAAAAGGATTTATTCATCTACTATTAATATTGATCGATATTTACGATGAATAGACAAATTTTGAGTGTAGTGGGTCAATTTTACAACTACCATACAATGTCTCACTATGAGCAAGATACAGAAAAAAATGTAATAGTAAAATACGTTTCAGCTTCAGACTAATTAGCCCGTAAGACATAGAAGATTTTATGCACACAGCACCCGGTCGTAAAGACCATTATGGGTTTTATAAAGCTTAATTCTCAGTTCAGAATACGATAGGACGAGCCAGTACAGGGTATTTAAGACACGCATTAATGTGACATAAATCGAGTTTCACGTTATCTGCTCAAGACTTGGATAACGACCGCTTCTATCTGAGAGGCAATATGAAAGATTTTTGTTAAGCAAATTTTAATGTCTTGAAGAAGATAAAAATGTAGGCTGATGGGTCTTTTATATGTTTTTACATGTATAAAATATAACATGGAGTTTCAAAGCTAGTGATGAAAAAGTGCACAAAGCGAGTATAATACATGAGTAAAAACCATTGTGACAAATAGCTGTGACAGAAATTCAAAATCGGAAAGACGAACCCAAGAATCAACTGCGAACTCTCTTGAAAGGTAAGAAATTCGAAACTTAACTTTCCTTTATCAAAAATAAAATTATATCGACTGTTCAATACAATAAAATATGAAAAAATAATCATACTTTCATTAATTGATTTTATTATCAATTTACTTCTAGTATTTTTCCAGCAAATTTTAACGAAAGAAGTATACTATTTGACGCTAAAAAACGTAACGTCATAATACAAAATTCATAGACAACTATCGTTTTTGACAGTTTTAAAAAAGTATTGAATTTTATTAGTTGGCAAGTACATAATTGCTTATGGTTTGGACCAATATTTATTTATTTATTCATATTGCACAATGTACATAATTATAATAAGAAGTATTACATACAACTAATTTAGTACATTACCCTGTTAGGGCGCAGCAATAATAACACAGTTATCTCACAAAGTACCTTCCATACTTTACATTCACAAAATAATATGACAAACAATTCCTCGAATTGTCAAGACCGAACTAAACGAAAGTCCTTCCACAAACTCGTGTTCAACATTCTCCTTTATCTGTATCGTTCTTTATTCTTTAAAGACATAAATCTTCGGTACTTTGCGTTCACTTTATGCTTCTTGATACGAACAAAGCGATATTAATTAGCTACAGCATCGTTAAGGGTCTCATTAGCAAGATCATCAGTTGTCTCATTAGGTTCAACCAATTAGAGTACTGCAACTCCCTTTTAAATCATTGCGCCGTGACTCAGTACTGTTACTTTCTTGTTAAATGCGAAGTTTGTTTTTGCTTACTTTTTTAACTTGTTAACATCTATCTGTACTTTTTTTATATATACAGCTAAGAAGTATGTTTGCTGGTTTAAATGCGTTAATCTCGCGCAATACTGGGCCAAATTGAATAATCATTACTGGGCATGATAGTCCATTTATCGAGTAAGTTTATTATAGGTTATAAACATCACGCGATTAATAATAGTCGAGCAGAGCGGGAGTAACTAGTTACTTATAAAGTTCATTTTTGTAAAACATCACTGTTGTAGGTTTCTGCAGTGTTTTCCTTGATACCTTTGAGGTGACAACAAGCTTACATCCCTTCTGATGGAAAGTAGTTATCATAGGTTTGTTGTTGTTTATGAACTTGATGCCTAAGAAAAGGATTGGCCACAGAAAGCTTTAAGAAGAGATGAGTGGAAGGAGAGTAGGAAGGCCTTTGCCCTGCAGTGGGAAGACCATGACTAAAAATAAAATAAAATAAATATGGTTGTCTGCAACGCCAGGAGTATCAATCGTGTTGCAAACTAACCTAACCTAACGCATTTATTTTTCTAGTCCTTGGCGTATGAGTCTAGTGTGCCAAAACACTGTCTTAATGCCGGATTCCCTAGGCAACATGTCTAAAAAAGATAGATTCGACAGCACAGTTGGTGCAGTGGCTGGGCAGCCGGCTGCCGTGCAACGTGTAGCGGGTTGGATTCCCGAACGGAACAGCTTGTGTCATCCACAAATTGTTGTTTTGGGTCTGGGTGTCGTGTGTATGTATACTACATAACATAACGTCACGCCTCTTTATCCCCGAAGGGGTAGGCAGAGGTGCACATTTCGGCACTTAGTGCCACTGTACAATGTAACCCCAGTTTTTACTATTTATGTTATAAGACCCATGTAATAAGGGGTGAGCCTATTGCCATATATCGGGCACATTTCTAGACTCCATGCTACTACTGAGATTTTTTAAAAACCCAGTAATACTTTGCCCGACCCGGGAATCGAAACCGAGACCCCTTGCCCGGCAGTCGCACTTGCGACCACTCGGCCAACGAAGCAGTGTATGTATACTAGTATGTTTAAAAACGCATCTGCGATACAGGAGACAATTCTAGTGTGGGGCAATGTTAAAACAAGATGAAGATTATCCTCAACAAAATCAGGACATTTTAAGAAACTGAAACTCCTATTTTGTACCGTAACTGACTGACTGACTGAGTTTGTTTAGAACTACGCCATGATAAACATTTTTGCGAATTTAAGTGGTTACCCGATTAGTTTCTTTGGAGTTTCGAAAGTCAGAGAACCGTCTTTGAAATTATTTTCGTCCATGATTGATGATTTCAGTTTGTGTACTAAATTGATTGAAGCTTCAGTTGTTAATGTTACACATTTAGTCTGAGTTACTCAGTCCGTTATTTCGAACGTGATGAGAGAGTGGATCTAATTGTTACGTAACTTTTTCGAATGGGTTTTGAAATGTGTTTATGAATAAAAAAGGTTATATATTGATTACATAGAATATAATGCATTTATCGAGTTGCCTTAATTACATATTTTGATGAAGAGTAATCAACAAAGAAGAGGTTACGTAAAGTTTTAAAGTGAAAATTGGAGAACAGAAAGGATACTCTTGTATTTGCTCAGTTGTTTTTGCACCGTGTACTGTGCTTATCTATTTGTCCTATTATTGTACGTTAGTGAAGTTTCAAAGATAAGTTAACAAAACCAAAATCGATAATAAAACATCATTTACAGACCCATGTAATATAAAAAAACACAAATCGGGGGTTACTAGAGCAGAGCAGAGCGGTTAGAACGTTTCTCAGTATTTTCACTTGAGTAACCCTCCATTGTTAGTTAATCATTTACTAGAGGTACTATCGACAAAACGCTATACTATCCCCAAACAATATCAATGCACACTCAAAACAGTATGATAAATCTTATAAAAATAAAAATCTGACCTTTCCAACTCCAGTAGGCTCCTTGACTCCTAGTCTCCGCAGTAACGCTGGTGGTGGTGCGGGAGGTGTCCTGTGCAGTGCTGCACTAAAGCCGCCAGGAGTCGTCGCGTCCTCGTCCCGTCGTCGTCTCTCGCGGTGTGGAGAACCACCACTGCTGCATTTTGCTGTTGATGTTCTGTTGACAAGGAATTTGGTTGGTTATTAAGAAGTCTATTAATTTTGGAGAAAATATATTACCTACGTATATATCGACACTTCACTACATAGTATAAAACAAAGTCGCTATGCGCCGTCTGTCTGTCCCTATGTATGCTTAGATCTTTAAAACTACGCAACGGATTTTGATGCGGTTTTTTTTCAATAGATAGAGTGATTCTTAAGGAAGGTTTTTATGTATAATACATGCATGACACAAATTGTGAATAAGTATTCCTTTATTTTACTAGATTATCTACGAGCTTAGTGCACATAAAATTGTACACAGACTTATAATAGACATTTTATCCTAGTCTAAGCTTTTGATGATGTAGAGGTAGAAAGCAAAAACGAGTATTATTGTGTGTGAATACAAATACAACATCGAGTTCTTATTGTATCCTATGGGATACAATACAGACTCAAATCGACTTCATAATGTCGCTAGAGTTTAAGGTTCGTTGAACCCTCTTCGTAAAAGCAAAGGGATTGTACTAACAGAAGGTCCTGCATCATATTGGAACATAGCGAAGTGTTTACCCCATCAAACAGAACGATACTGTACATTATTGAATCCCATTCACTTCCGTTACCATTTCCGACAGAAAAATTAATGTTCAAAGACCCACCTTCCGGTCCACATGTACCTACCTATCATATTTCATATATTCCGATCGAATAATTGAAAAATAAGCAAAAACCATTTATTATGTCCGTTTCGTGTTTGAAGCTGCTCGGAGTCGAACCTGAAATAAATGCGTTGTACGTGACCTCCGAAATGACCTGTTTACATTTTTCAAAAATTCGCTCTGCCGTCAATGGTGCGATGCGGAACGACTGTGATGCATAGCGACGGGCAGACAGACGATTTTGTGAATATTTGAAAGTAGGCGTGATGGGGGTAGACGTGGCTGAACAGCGAATTTTGATGAGGTTGGTGTTTTTGTACCGTCGATTACTTTAGTGCTGTATAAAACGATATTTGTACTATTGCCCCCGACGCCATCGTTAAGGAAGTCATAAAATAAAAGGAATTTTTTAACCCAACAAAAAAGGACATTAAAATTAAAAACGTCATGATCTACTTAAATTCAAAAAAGGAAAAATTTAAGACCTTCTAATAATAAAATTCCAAAACAAATCATTAAGTAATTCGATATTCAATTTTTAAACATTATAATTCGCTGTCATTCTTTGATCGATGTGACCCTAATTTTAAAAACAGAAGCTCAAATTCCTTGACTTTTGTCGCACGTCTACACAGCCTGTAAAGGGGGTTGCACACCAACCGGTGATGGATGGCGCTTACGTGTCGTCGGACGACACCGCTCGTATTTTATTTTAATGCCATCGGCGTAACACCCGTCTCACAGAGGCTTAAAATTGAAAATTCTCCATGTTTAGGTATCGGAAAAATGAATATATTTTCCTCAATATCGATAAAATATGTAGGTCGCGTATTCGGGTTCGTGGAGTCATCCACTAGCGAACTATTTTACGAATATGAACATTACTATGATGTCTGCGGAACAAATGCTAAGACTTTCTTGGTACAATATTCCCATAACATTTATTTCAAATTAAAAAAGCAGTCCAATCATGTTAATACCGGGCTCCCAGAAAAAGTGTAGGCCTGTACGACCCCCGCATAGTTCTCCCTAGCGTGATGCGGTCGCGTGACGTCCAATACTTTATTGTTCCCAACTATTAACATTCTTCTGCCGGATTGTTTAGATAACTCTTGCGTTTGCCTCCTGCCGACTTATGCCCGCCTAGTACTTTAGCTTGATAGAGTGCACGTCAAGGAAATTCGGGAATTAATGGAGTTTCTAGTTCCCTTTTTAATAAATTGAATTTACTGTAGTGTTTTGCAGGACTGTTGGCTCCTGCAGTGCTGACCAACAGATCGTGGCAGTTCTTTGGTGGTCAGTGAACCACCTGTACATAGAGAATTGTATAATATGAATGCCTCATTGGCCGAGTGGTCGCAAGTGCGACTGCCGGGCAAGGGGTGTCGGGTTCGATTCCTTCGGGTTTTT